TACAAATGAAGTAGGAATCAAGAAAAAAAGAAATGTTTAAAAGGTAAGAAAATATTTGTGTTACCTTTTTTTAGGGATAACAGAAAGCTCAAAATTTGTCAATCAGTACTATTTCATAATGCAATAAGCACAGTTTTATTCATTTAAGAAAATTTTTAGTAATTCGCTGCTCAGTGTAAACTGTTGTTAAACTTAAAAACACTTGGAAAAAAGTCATCATATGTGCGTTCGGCGCGCACACACATACTAGTTGGTTTGGTTTGTTACACTAGAGCTGTCTTAAGAGGAGCACACTAGAGCTGTCTTAAGAGGAGGGGTGCCTTCGTGGAGGGACTTTCTAAGGGAAACTGGCTCGCATACACGTTACACATGGAAAAAACTACGAAAACGTTCATGCAGCCAGTCCGTCCACCGAGATTCGAGCCCCGCACAAAACTACCAGTGTTCAGCGACTTTATCGCTCGGGCCCTTATTGGCCCTCACACATACAAGAAAAAAGTAGATGATTTATGCTGAAAAAAATATTCTGAAAAAGGAACTGCGTTTTTTAACCGTTTACATCTGTTGTGCCGAAATAAAAATGTAATCAAAAACAATTTTTTGTATTCGAACGAACTTTATTGTGTGCACATGAATTATTATTATAACAACGTATGAAAGGATATAAGTTGAGAAAAGATTTCGAAGAAAATAATTTTCATTTTTAACTAGGAGCTTCGCTGCCAGCCTTCGTCTGGCTTTTAAATGTACCGGAAAAATGGCTGAAGGGAACACCAAATGTTAAATTTAAAAACTGCGTAGAATTTTACTCTGCAGAACAACTTCATAAAAAAAAGTTACTACGTATAACAAAATTACAAAGAAATAAACAATATCCTTTAATACAAATATTAATTATCCTAATAAATAAATTAACCAACTTCCCTTTGCAAAATCTTAAGAACTCAAATGGTATAAAGGAGGTTAAGAACTTTATTTCCTAAAAAAATCACTCAAAACTTTTCAATATCTTAAAAACTGTGAAATGAGCAATATATAACATAAAAGAATACAAAAAAACAAAAAATTCTGAAAATCAAAGTATAATTAATGATATTTTATCTTATATTTTCAAGAGAAAAAAATTACAATGAAATAAGCTATATATCCCTTAATAAAAATATTAATTATCCTAATAAAAAATTATTCAACTTTTCGTTGAAGGGAAAAAATCATGCGGAACGTTTCAATATCTTACAAACAATGAAATAAACAAAAAATAACATGAAAAAAAACAAAAACAAACAAACAAAAAAAAAAAAATCCGCGCGGAATTTTACTCTGCAGGGCAAAATAAAAATGTATTATATATATATATAAATGACAATGAAATATGCCAATCTCTTAAAAACGATGAAATACCATAAAAAATACGATGAAAAATTGTTGCCAAACCCATATTTCTAAAAAAAATGAAACAATTTAAAATGATGCGATTTCATCAAAAATCTATCAACAACAATAAGACAGGAAAATTGTTGCCAAAATCACATTTTTAAAGATCTGAGAAGTGTACTCGGAAGCTTCATTTAAAAAAATTTTTAAAAATACAATATATTATTATTTTTCCAAAATTCTTTTGCAAAAGCAGTTGCAAGGATGAAAGTTTAATGTTTCCAAAAATCAAAGAAAAATAAACTGTACATTTAAAGAAAAAAAAAAAAAAAAAAACCTTTTTATAAAAAATCCGGTTGAAATGGTGTTAAGCTCCCTTTGTTAAATAAATTCGTACTGAATCGATTTATTGAAAGACGAATTTATTTTAAGTTCGTAAAATAGCTAAGTGCCTACGTTTCATGACGATGTGAAAATGGAGTGTGTAGAGTAAAATCTCGCTTTCCTATAGCCCATTATGTCTCAAAATGACGCGATTTCGTCACAAAACATAAAATAAAATAAATTCTAATTCTAATTTCGAAAAAAACTGCTTCGAGGTGCACTGGCTCTTAACTAGATGCACCTACTATGTGCCAAATTTCGTAGCCGTGGGTCTATTAGCTTATGCGCAGCGCGAACGAAAGACACACACACACAGACACTTTCTTTTATTATATGTAGAGATTTTTTCAAAAAGAGATATCATATTAATTTCCAAATAATTTAAATCTGCTGTGCTGAAATAAAAATTTAATAGAGAATATTTTTGTGTTTGTTTATTGTATATGTAGGATTTACTATTATTACGTGTGTGTGTGCCTGTCTCAAAGTAAATATTTCAGTTATGTATAATAAAAAGTATAAAAAAAGAATTAAACTCGCATAACAGCTAATTGCGAAAGAAAAATTAGAGCCATAAATCGCTCATTTTTTAAAATTACATTAATTCCATTATCTATTAGAAAATAATTATTGCAAATCATCTATTTAAACGACATCTCTAAGAGGTCACTTTCTAAGGAATCTGTATTTTTGAGAACATAAACAAACATTGGTAGTGAACATCACATTTTTAAGACCACCACATGTAAGATGCTCTAAAAGCATGAATGGTTGCATTTAAAGAGGACCCATTACTTTTAATAAAGAATGTAACTTTAATCTTAATTAAACATGTTTTTGGTGTGTGTGCCAAAATAGTGATACCGTGGTTCTGTTGCTTTAGAAATGTGTGAAATTAAAAATATGGATACTATATAACAAAAATGTTATTATATTCAGATTGGATTGGATTGGATTATTCAATTATGGCTAAACACACGAGGGCTATCTGCCTAAAGGGAGGGATGCCTTCGTGGAGGAATCTAAGGGAAACTGGCTCGTATACACGTTACACATGGGGAAAACCACGAAAACGCCCATGCAGCCAGCCCATTCGAGGGATTCGAACCTCGAACCGAACTACCAGTGTTAGCGTCTTTACGGCTCGGCCGCTGGTGGGCCTATTATATTCAGATACACACCTTTTGAACACGTCGGAAATTCATTATTCTGCTCAGCATAATTTGTCTGCATAAAATATTAAATAGTATCAGAAATCAAAAGCTAAGTCGAAGTAGAAACAGTCATCTCTTCTAAACCATTTTAATTGAAGAAGTAAACAGACGTTCGTCTTATCGTAAAGTAAACACCTTATTTTTCAAACAGCGGATGATAAAACGAGAAAGAAGGAATTGGTGGGGGAAGGCAGCGAACGAAATGACACTTTTTCGAGCTCTGGATGAAATGAGAAAGGACGAAACGGTACTAAGCCAATAAGACAAGGTCTGGTATTTTACTTTATTATTTAACTATTCATCATAAGTTTAAGAATTATTTAAATTTTTATTTGTCTTTACATTTTTATTAAATTTTACTTATAAGTATTTTATATTTCAGTTGCTAATTATTATGTTACTTTAATTATTCATTATTTTAATCACTATTTTTTATTATTTTAATTATGAAGTTTTTTAATTTATTATTTTAATTACTAATTAATGTTATTATTGTCATATTTATTTCCTTTCTTTCTTTATTTTTTCCTTTTTTTTTTTTATTTTCCTGACGGCCTTCCGTAGGCGCTTCTGACTTTAAAAACTAAGCCCTGACAGCAATAGAAAATTTAATAATGAATCATATCCAGTGCACCAAAAAATAATAGCCAAAATAAAGTGAATTATTTCTACTCAAAAATGTGACGCAAAACTCCCTATCGCAGCACTACCCAGTTCCCGCGGGGTAGAAAAGCTCACGTGATTCAATGCGATGCGACGTTTCAAGGCCCTTTTTAGGGCCGTAGACCGATAAAATAGGCTCAGGATACGGATACCGATGGATTTTACCGAAAGTAACGAGTAACGATACGATAGTAACGAGTACTGGTTCACCGAGTAACGAATACATACGGGTACACAATTTCTCGTTACTTCTACAGCACTATTTTTCAGTATCCACTCATGTTTATAGGTTAAAATGCCATATTCAATATCAAAGTTATTTATGAAATAAAAACCTTATAAAATCTGATAAATCATTTTGTGTGCAAATTTTTAAATCTAAATCTCTTACATTAAATTATTTCTGTCTTTTAAATTACATCCCATTATTTATTTCAAAATAATTGATTAATGTGTTTGTACTAATATTTCAAATTTCTTTGAAGCACTTTTTGTGTCCTGAAAATGCGAATTATTTCCATAAAAAAAAAAAAAAAAGCAGGCATACAGAATAATTCATTTAATAGTTCATATAATCGCTTTTAACTTATTTCATGTCTAAATTTTCTACACAGAAATCCGCTGTCTAATTTTTAGTATCTTTTATTGGACGAAATTTTTCAAAGAGGAATGAATTAAAGGCTTGAGTGAGCAAAACACATCATTAAATGTATTCTAAGAAGTACAAAAAATTTCAACAAGATTTTGCCCCTCTCCCTTCAAATCAGTCATTTAAACTATTCAAACCGTTCAGGAAAAGGATAAACATTGCGAGCGAACATAAAAATCTACCCTTTTTTTATATATATACTTTAATAAAAGGAAATGTGTTCCTTCTTTTCATAAGAAAAGGAACCCATTTTCCTTTCTAAGCTTTTGAAAGTCGCCTACGCTTAAAAAATTATAAACTACGCCAAGGTAGAAATCCGCCTTTGCCAACTCAATGCGCATGCGTGGTTAATGTTGGTGTGAATATAGCTTAAGCGGATAATCGCACCGGTGGTGCGAATAGCATCGGCCACTTTATCGGCTTTAGCCAAAGAATATGTATTCTGTTTATAGACGTTCTTTGCGTACCGAGTTCCCGCACCTCTCTCTTCCCAGACCAGAATCACTTGCAACGTGAATGACCTTTGCGAGTAGTTCCTTTCTAGTGTTGCTGCACCACATGACCATTGATCAATGAAACATAAAATCTTTCCAAAATTCATGATGTAACCCTTCAAAATTGATTCTGGCCCTTTTCTGGGATAAGGTTCGGAGAACAACCTACTGTACATCAGAACAAGATGCTGCTGTTCATCAGGCAGAAAGACCCAGGTATTTGCTGCACAACTGGACAGCTGTTTATTTTTACTGCCTGTGTGCATATTAAAAACATTTGGTTCTGGTTAGACAGTCATGTGGAAGCTGTGTAATTAGTATTTTTTTTTTTTTTTTGTGTCTATATGTTTATGTGATTATGGATAGAGAAATTTTAGATAACTTAGTTACTGCCGTGTCAAATGGACGGACTGATATCGTGCGGACTCTTTTATCTATGTATGAAACTGGTAAGAACTCTCTTTTATAAAGATGTAACATGATTAAGTATTTATATATTAGTTGTTCGCTTTATGTAGTTAGGAGTCATCTTTGTAATGACAGAATTTAAAAAAAATGTATTGGATATTGTATAAATGTTACGTATTAGATTCGGTTTTCTTAGGCCATTCATTTGATATTTAAGGGGGATTTTAAGACGGTAGTTAGTGCATTATCCGAAAACTGCCATACTAAGCATATATAAATTAAATTTAACAAAATTAGCTGATTTAACATATTAAATCAAATTTAGTTTGTTAAATATAACTAATACAGTTAAATTCATTTAACAGAAAGGCATAATATTAACCATATGCAATTCAAAATTAGCTGGTTAAACATGCTATTTAAAATGATTGAATTCAGGTTGGTAGAAAAGCGTGAAGCATATATAAGTAAAGTTCAGCCTCCCCCAAAAGCTAGTATTATTATTGAAATAGATTTCTCTAATTATCTATTATAAAAGTAAAAAAAAAAAAAAAAAAAAAAAAAAAACATGTATATTTATATCCAGCAATGCTTTTATTTCTTTTTTCAGATTTTAATGGCCTTTGAAAAGGCTGACCTTTTTTTCAAAAATGTGTGCCATTAAGTAAATTACTGAAGACGTATTATCCTAAAAGGATATATTCTCTTATTGGGTCCAAAATTTTTATGAATGGACCTTGCTGTTATGTTTAACTTCACGCTGAAATAGGGATATGAGAATTTAATCAGATAGGTTTTTCTTATAAAGATTTTTTTTTTTTTTTTTTAAATTTTACTGTCATAGGCCACATGCTTGATTCTGTGGACTGGGTCCACGCCTGCCTAAGAATGACTATATCTGTCAAGAATCAGTCATAAAAGTTGTGCCCTTTGCCATATGCTTCTTAATTAGTGGTATCAGAATCTCCACTAATCTGTTGTTTACTGTGATGTTTCCGATAAAGGTAATAAACCTTCTGAGATGCACCACTGCAGACTAGCATCTGTCTCTGAGAACTTCCTTAATTAAATGAAAATAATTCCAGCTATTCATTTTAAAAAGATTAGAAAAGATAGCATGGAAATCAAACAAAATGATGGTAAACAAATTAATAAATTACATGGTCAAAGCGTGATGACCGATGAGGGTGATGCTACAATGAGCAGAATTATGAGCAGCAATCTAAAGAACCAAAAAGAATGTAAAGGGAATGGTTGTTACCTCTAAATAAGCAAATGAGTTGAATATCGGGTTTGAATGTTTGAACTACCACTGCTATTTTTGGTGCTGTTTATATTTACCAGGTTTTCTGCAGAAGTGCTTCCCACACTACATTCTAAGTTTCTCAACCATCCTGAGCTATAAGGTTAATTGATAGCACCTTTATATTCTGAAAATATTCCAGTTGGCTTTTGTGGCATTTCTGTGCTGGTAAAATTCATAAAACATGACATGAAAATTGTGCAGTTTAGCGTATATAGTTTGCATATGAATAAAATTAATGAAATGATAATTCAGAGAAATTAAAAGGAATGGTATCATAATTACAATGGTACATAAAATTTTTTTAGTGCAATTTGCAGTTGTTTCTAAGGCTGTAGGTCAATATGCAAAGGTGGCAGGCCGCAAAGACATTTCATTTTTGTTGCAGAGATTTTAAAATTTTAGTTATTTGAAGTCTGAGTTTACATTATTTTTTCACTTCTGTTAAAAATAACACACTAGAAAATTTACAAATGGAGCTAATTAAATTACAGTGTGATTGTATTCAAAGATATGGAAATATAGATTTTGTTAAATTTTATTCTTAAGTGTCAAAAAGTAACTGAGTTTGGAATTTTTGCACTAAGAATAATCACTTTGTTTTGGAGTACATTTATGCGTGAACAGCCTTTTTTTTTTTCCCAGGTGAAAATTTATGAGAAAACTCGGTATGACTGGTGAGCATCTGTAATCTGTGATGAAGATAATTTCTAGTAATTTCTTTCCACTGCTACAAACTTTATCAGTGTTGAAACACCATCCATTATCAAGAAAATTATAATATTTACATAGAAAGATGTGTATTTTTATTTATACATTGAAGAAAAATTTAATAAATGAGAAAAAGAGATTTGGGTTGATCTTTACATTATGGTAACTTGGCGTTTTTTTTGCGAAAATTTGGCGACCAACTCTCCTACAGCAACCCTCTATTTTTTTTTCCCCGCCGCCATTTTGTCTTCACGAAGTAAAGACATGTTTCTTTTCTTTTTATCTACTGAACACTTCTTCCAACAATCTACTAGCCGAATTACACTTATGCTAGAAATTTTCTCTAACAAAACTGCTTAATCATGACAAATATTCACTGCAAAATTGGGGAAAAAGTGCACAATACCATACTCCTTACGCGTTTTTCAAAATAACACATACACATAAACCATGTACACGCCGACTTATTTTTACTTAAAAAAACATCCCAGAATTACACATAAATGGCATTGTGCACACTCTTCACTATATCCATGTACACTGCTTTTTTCTCATAAATTAGAAAAATTTCACGAAAATACATGACAATTTTCTGAATCTTTAAACCCGGTAAAAAGAACATATATGAAATTACCTGATCGCGAAAAAGTTTATACCCTTTCCAAATATGAACATTTCCACATATAAAATAAATAAAATATCCAAAAACTTTTACCTCTAAATCATCTATTATATTATACACGTCACCAACGAATTCATACCGCAAGCATTACAAATACTTAGTGTCAAATATTTAAATTATTTCCATGCATGTTTACTTCAACTTAAACATATACCAAATTCCTACAAACATAAAATTCACAAAATAACTATCATTTAATTAAAATATCACTAAACCATGTACACGTCGATTATTTTTACTTAAAAAAACATCCCGGCATTGCGCACATTCTTCACTATATCCATGTACACTGTTTTTTTCTCATAAATTAGAAAAATTTCACGAAAATTCATAACAATTTTCTGAATCTTTAAACCCGGTAAAAAGAACATATATGAAATTACCTGATCGCGAAAAAGTACATACCCTTTCCAAATATGAACATTTCCCCGTATAAAATAAATAAAATATCCAAAAACTTTTACCTCTACATTATCTATTATATTACAAACGTCACTAACTAATTCATACCTTTACTTCATTACAAATGGTTACAAATACTTAGTGTCAAATATTTAAATTATTTCCATGCACGTTTACGCAAATTACTTTACTTCCACCTTACATTTAGAACAATGCATAAAAATAATATCCTCAAATAATTAAAAATACTAACTTACCTATTCTTCTTCAGAATCTTGATATGTGTCGATAAACTTTTCTTATTTCTGTTTCAGGATCTTTAAAATCATAGTTAACACCAAGGTACCAGGTAAAATAAATAACTTAATAAAACATCTTTACATCTATCTCGCACAACCTTAAAGAAACACTTATTACTACTCCTTTCAATCCCACTAAATACCCATTTCGAATTCATTTTAGTTAGGGCCATGGGATCCATAAATTAACGAACACTGTTTCACACAACACAGAATAAAGGCAAATACAAAATTTCCAGATTTTTTCCCGATTTCCCCCCTTTTACGATTAAAGAACCGTAATTCGTCCATCAATATCACATGACATATCACATGATCTCTCATTTCCCTCACACAAAATAATACGTAATCGGAACTGAGTACTGCTCACATTATTACCAAAGTCCCAGGTAGTAACCTTTATCGCCTCCAAAATGTCGCCAAACTACCAGTTACCATATTGCAAAGATCAGCCGAGATTTGTTATTATTTATTTGCAAGTTTTGTTCCACTTGACATATTTTTTCCAATCTTTTATTAGTTTATCTGCATAATTAACTAATTTTTGCATTTGCTTATTTTTTTGTGTATGTATTTTTTTAAAATTTATCATATTCACTAATTGTATCTACTAATCTATGTAACTGTATAGAATGATAAATGAAAAGATTGTTTTGTAAGATTACTTATTAAATTCTAGGTTCAAATCCTCATGGCACAAATTTATCATGTGAGCAACTTTTAAGAGAATTATGCAGTGCTTATGGGACACTTCTGCATTTAGCTACAAAGGTAAAGTTATTTTTAATCAGTGTAATGTTCTGTTTTTATTTATTTATTTAGTATTTTTTTAACTTGAGTGTACGTTTATTCATAAATACTTTATAAAAATTAAAGGTTGATCTTTACATTATGGTAACTTGGCGGCGTTTTATTGGCGAAAATTTGGCGACCAACTCTCCTACAGCAACCTTCTATTTTTTTTTCACGCCGCCATTTTGTCTTCACGAAGTAAAGACATGTTTCTTTTCTTTTTATCTACTGAACACTTCTTCCAACAATCTACTAGCCAAATTACACTTATACTAGAAATTTTATCTAACAAAACTGCTTAATCACGACAAATATTCACTGCAAAATTGGGAAAAAGTGCACAATACCATACTCCTTACGCGTTTTTCAAAATAACACATACACATAAACCATGTACACGCCGACTTATTTTTACTTAAAAAAACATCCCAGAATTGCACAAAAATGGCATTGCGCACACTCTTCACTATATCCATGTACACTGCTTTTTTCTCATAAATTAGAAAAATTTCACGAAAATACATGACAATTTTCTGAATCTTTAAACCCGGTAAAAAGAACATATACGAAATTACCTGATCGCAAAAAAGTATTCACCCTTTCCAAATATGAACATTTTCACATATAAAATAAATAAAATATCCAAAAACTTTTACCTCTAAATAATCTATTACATTATTACACGTCACCAACGAATTCATACCGCAAGCATTACAAATACTTAGTATCAAATATTTAAATTATTTCCATGCACGTTTACTTCAACTTAAACATATACCAAATTCCTACGAGGGCTATCCAGAAAGTAGATTACGTTTTGGAATAAAAAAATAAACAAAGTATAGGAAGGAAACAATTTTATTATATACAGATGAAAGCACCACACTCAAATACTACTTTTCTACATAGTCACCATACAAATTAAGGCATTTATCGTAGCGATGTACGAGCTTGGAAATTCCTTCGTCGAAAAATTCGGCCGCCTGCGCCTTCAACCACTTCGTTACCTCTTCTTGCCTTCCATCTTGCACAAAACTTGTGTGGTAACTAAGCTTTTCGCTGATGATTTCATGCAACAAAACTTCGCGAAATTTGTGGAAAATTCAAGAAAGTTCCGTTATTGTGAAATTTCGATTTTCACGGACTTTAGCATCGACTTTTTCGAGAAGTTCGGCGGTCACTATGCTGGGTCTCCCACTTTGATCTTCGTCGTGAACATTGGTTCGGCCATTTTGAAATCTTATGACCCACTGACGCACTCCACCTTCAGTGATAATGTTGTCCCCATACACTTCACGAAGCTGCCGATAGATTTCTATCGGTTTACAGTTTTTTTTTTTGCAGTCAGAAACCTTATTACTGAGCGCACCTCGCAGCTCGCGGGATTTTCAATTAACGCAGACATTTCAAACCGTCACAGTATCTGAACGGAGCACAGCACGAACCTCTCACTAGCACGGCTAGATGCAGACTGAGCTGCGCAACGCTCTGACCCCAAGATGGCCGCGCTAGCCCCGCCCCTAGCGGACACAGACGGAAACGTAATCTACTTCCTGGATGGCCCTCGTACAAACACAAAATTCACAAAATAACTATCATTTAATTAAAATATCACTAAACCATGTACACGTCGATTATTTTTACTTAAAAAAACATCCCGGCATTGCGCACATTCTTCACTATATCCATGTACACTGTTTTTTTCTCATAAATTAGAAAAATTTCACGAAAATTCATAACAATTTTCTGAATCTTTAAACCCGGTAAAAAGAACATATATGAAATTACCTGATCGCGAAAAAGTATTTACCCTTTCCAAATATGAACATTTCCACACATAAAATAAATAAAATATCCAAAAACTTTTACCTCTAAATCATCTATTACATTATTACACGTCACCAACGAATTTCATACCGCAACCATTACAAATACTTAGTGTCAGATATTTAAATTATTTCCATGCACGTTTACTTCAACTAAAATGTATACCAAATTCCTACAAACATAAAATTCACAAAATAACTATCACTTAATTAAAATATAATTAAATTCAAAAACACTACTTAAAATATAAATGAGCACATACATTAAATTAATAAAAATTACCTTACAATCCTAATTACTTTAAACTAAATCATTGCTAATAACAATTTCCCAATAATACCAAATTCCTTTACTTCCACCTTACATTTTGAACAATGCATAAAAATATATCTTCAATTTTAAATAATTAAAAATACTAACTTACCTATCTTCTTCAGAATCTTGATTACGTGTCCGATAAACTTTTCTTCTTTCTCTTTCAGGATCTTTAAAATCATACTTATATTTCACAGCAAGGTACCAGGTAAATAAATAACTTAATAAAACATCTTTAGTTCTATCTCGCACAACCTTAAAGAAACATTTATTACTACCCTTTTCAATACCACTAAATACCCATTTCGAATTCACTTTAGTTACGGCCATGGGATCCAAAAAATTCATGAACACTGTTTCACAACCACAGAATAAAGCCAAATACAAAATTTCCAGATTTTTTCCCGATTTCCCCCCTTTTCCGATTAAAGAACCGTAATTCGCCCATTAATATCACATGACATATCCCATGATCTCTCATTTCCCTCACACAAATAATGTGTAATCGGAACTGAGTACTGCTCACATTATTACCAAAGTCCCAGGTAGTAACCTTTATCGCCTCCAAAATGTCACCAAACTACCAGTTACCATATTGTAAAGATCAACCAAATTAAAAAATAATATCTATTTCAACTTAAAATAAAAAATTGAGCTACATGAGACATACATTATTTTTGTATTTTTCCGTTAAAATAATACAATGCATTTTTGATACGCTTATTGGTGTGAAATCGACGGTTTAATCCTAGTATTCGGTGCACATGGGATTTGGCGACTTTATGATGAGCAGTAAAAACGCGACATATACGATGAGTAGTAAACGGGTCATTCAAAGAATATATATAGTTATACATAGTATATACTATGTGTGTATATACTATGTTATATACAAGTATATATATAGACATTCTTTGGATCATTTTTGGTGTTGGCGATAATTTTCAAAATCGCGCCAAGGCTGCACCGTATACTAGGATTTTACCAAATCGACTTCTTTCACAAAAACCTTTGGCTTAATAGTAATTCTCTCCTTAATTTTGTTTTATTTAATTTTTTCCCCTTTTAACTAAACAGATCCAGTCTTAGATATAGAATTGGGTTTAACAAAACTTAATTGTTGTCCGATAAATTGCTATTTAAATTCTGTTAACTTTTATGCAGTTCAGTTTTTAACTAGAAAATCTGTATCAAAACTCCCATGCATGTTTCTGAAATGCCTGTCAATGTTTCCTTTTTTTGGAAGTGCCACACTTGCATGATGTATATAGCACACACATTTTACATTTGTAAAGAAAAACTGTTGTTCCCATTCTGTATTAAAATTGCATGTTTTTATTTTCTGAACACTTGTTTTCGACATTGTACTCATCTTTTAAAACATGACAGATTACTATTTTTATTACAAAAACTCAATGAACACAAAATTGTCAAGCTGAATTATTGAAGAACTTTAGTAACTGCTAGACCGTGGAATGTGGACGTATTCAGTGCTGTGAGCAGTGAACATACGCATACTGATGAATCTGTAACTGAATGTATGTACTTAAGCGTCATCCTGTGCTTCCTATGAAGGTACATGTATTGTGTACACATTCATCAAATCATTTGCAGCTGATCTTTAGAATATGGTAACTGGTAGTTTGGCGACATTTTGGAGGCGATAAAGGTTACTACCTGGTAATAATGTGAGCAGTACTCAGTTCCGATTACGCATTATTTTGTGTGAGGGAAATGAGAGATCATCGGATATGTCATGTGATATTAATGGACGAATTACGGTTCGGAAAAGGGGGGAATTTGGAAAAATATCTGTAGCTGTATATTATTTTGTATTAAGCTTCATTGTGTTGTGTGAAGTAGAGTTGAATAATTTTGGGATTGTATGGCGCTGTCTAAAGTGAATTCTAGATTTTTAAGATTCTAGATTCCACCATGTAAGCAAGATTCTGAAGAAGATTAGGTAAGTTAGTATTTTTAATTATTTGAGGATATTATTTTTATGCATTGTTCTAAATGTAAGGTGGAAGTAAAGTAATTTGGTATTATTGGGAAAATTGTTATTAGCAATGATTTAGTTTAAAGTAATTAGGATCGTGAGCTAATTTTTATAATTTAATGTATGTGCTTATTAATATTTTAAGTAGTGTTTTGAATTTAATTATATTTTAATTAAATGATAGTTATTTGTGAATTTTATGTTGTAGGAATTGGTATACGTTTTAGTTGAAGTAAACGTGCATGGAAATAATTTAAATATTTGACACTAAGTATTTGTAATGTTTGTGGTATGAATTCGTTGGTGACGTTTATAATATAATAGATAATTTAGAGGTAAAAGATTTTGGATATTTAATTTGTTTTATATGTGGAAATGTTCATATTTGGAAAGGGTATACAGTCAAAAGTCATTAATTCGGACTCGTCGGGACTTCGGCGATTCCGGTTTATCGATTTTTCCGGATTATAGATCATCAGTTTAAGTCTGGTAAGATGGCATGCAGAAATTACAAAATTAAAAATATGAAACCATAATTTATAAAATAAAGTACAATTATGATCTAAAGGGTATCAAAATTTACAAAATGAAAAAGCGGTTGATCTTTACAATATGGTAACTGATAGTTTGGCGACATTTTGGAGGCGATAAAGGTTACTACCTGGGACTTTGGTAATAATGTGAGCAGCAGTACTCAGTTCCGATTACGCATTATTTTGTGGGGGGGAAATGAGAGATCATGGGATATGTCATGTGATATTAATGGACGAATTACTGTTCTTTAATCGGGAAAAATCTGGCAATTTGTATTTGGCTTTGTTCTGTGTTGTGTGAAATAGTGTTTGTGAATTTTTGAATCCAATGGCCGTAACTAAAGTGAATTCGAAATGGGTATTTAGTGGTATTGAAAAGGATAGTAATAAATGTTTTTTTAAGGTTGTGCAAGAGAGAAATAAAGATGTTTTATTTGTTATTTATTTTACCTGGTATCTTGCTTTGAAAGATAAGTATGATTTTAAAGATTCTGAAACAGAAGGAAGAAAGTGTTATCCGCCACGTAATCAAGATTCTGAAGAAGATTAGGTAAGTTAGTATTTTTAATTATTTGAGGATATTATTTTTATGCATTGTTGAAATGTAAGGTGGAAAGGAATTTGGTATTATTGGGAAAATTGTTATTAACAATGATTTAGTTTAAAGTAATTAGGATTGTAAGGTAATTTTTATTAATTTAATGTATGTGCTCATTTATATTTAAGTAGTGTTTTTGAATTTAATTATATTTTAATGAAATGATAGTTATTTTGTGAATTTTATGTTTGTAGGAATTTGGTATACGTTTAAGTTGAAATAAACGTGCATGGAAATAATTTAAATATTTGATATTAAGTATTTGTAATGCTTGCGGTATAAATTCGTTGGTGACGTGTATAATGTAATAGATGATTTAGAGGTAAAAGTTTTTGGATATTCTATTTATTTTATATGTGGAAATGTTGATATTTGTAAAGGGTAAATACTTTTTCACGATCATGTAATTTCATATATGTTCTTTTTACCGGGTTTAAAGATTGAGAAAATTGTCATGTATTTTCGTGAAATTTTTTTAATTTATGAGAAAAAAGCAGTGTACATGGATATAGTGCAGAGTGTGCGCAATGCCATTTTTGTGCAATTCTGGGATGTTTTTTAAGTAAAAATAAGTCGGCGTTGTACATGGTTTATGTGTATGTGTTATTTTGAAAAACGCGTAAGGAGTATGGTATTGTGAACTTTTTCCCAATTTTGCAGTGAATATTTGTCATGATTAAGCAGTTTTGTTTGATATAAAATTTCTAGCATAAGTGTAATTCGGCTAGTAGATTGTTGGAAGAAGTGTTCAGTAGATAAAAAGAAAAGAAACATGTCTTTACTTCGTGAAGACAAAATGGCGGCGGGGAAAAAAAAATAGAGGGTTGCTGTAGGAGAGTTGGTTGCCAAATTTTCGCCAAAAAATCACAAAGTTACCATAATGTAAAGATCAACCTTAATTTTTTTAGGAGAGTCAGCTGTTGCTTTGAACTGGCTGAGTGTTTTACCAGTCATATTCATGTAGCCGTAGTTAGCACAAAGTGCTACCATATGGACACTATAGAAATTAAAATTAAAAAAAAAAAAAAATATTATCATAGGGTAATGTAAAATTTTTATTCACTGAATCTGTAAAACCTAATTTGAATATACAGTCAAGTCTTTAATCCGGACTCGTCGGGACTTCGGCGATTCCGGATTATTGGTTTTCATCACATTACCCAGGTAAGTAAGTTTTGTCTTTTGTTTTCTGGATTGCTCTGTATCTTCGCTGAGTGAAAGAAATATTTTTATTTTAATAATAAGGCTATGTTTTAGTAACAATATAAAAAATGTATTGTTCTGTGTACTGTTCAATTATTTTTAAATAGCTTGAGAAATAAGAAATTATTCTAAAGTTTAACTCTCAAACTAATTTCATTTAAATAGCTGAAGCACCTTCACAATATCCAAGTGTAAAAATCTAAAGTTAGAGTAGACTTAAGGGTACCCCTTGTATTATCGCAAAGAAGTTGTTTCATTTATCACCAAGTTGTTGTTTCATTTATGGTAACCTGAGTAGTTGAATGTTCTGTAAATATACTTTTACCTAGAATTGTTCTGTAAATATACTTTTACCTAGAATTGTAAATATACTTTTATCTAGAATTGTTCTGTAAATATACTTTTACCTAGACTTTTTAAGTGAAAATGTATTGTTGTGTACATGGACAAAATCAAGGAAGTGCGCAATGGCAAGTTTGTGCAATTTTCTGATTTTTTTAAAGTGAAAATAGGTCGATGTGTACATGTATAAAGTCAAGGTCGTGCTCAATGCCTAGTCAAAGAATTGCACTAACTCGGTATCCATGTACCGCCAAAAATCAATTTTCGCCAAGGGGTACCCATAAATATACTTTTACCAAATTTAATAATTTTGCAATTAATATAGATTTGAAAATACTTAAAAGAATGAAATTAAATAATATGTGACGAGCACCAGCACATTATTTATATATATTGACATAATAGAACAATGAGAATCCAGTTATTTTTGATTCCAATATGTGTTATTTTATATATTATTTTTATAAAATGGGGATAAGAATTTGAATTTTTTTTTTTTTTGGTGTTTGTGTTGTGATATTTTAAACAGCTTATGCTTATGAAAACCATTAATATCTGAGAATTATCTTGAGGCATTGTACGCTTTTAAAGAAACATGCAGAGTTTCTTTTAAATGATTTACATCTTTGAAGTCCTATTTTCATATATGGGAGGGCCAATTTAAAGTAGACAGTGTCACCATGGGCCATTATTTATTTTAGCGAAGGTATTAAATATTTATGTTCTTGAATGCAAGCTGTAAAGAATTATGGCATTTCTTCTATTTGTGTTTTTGTGGTGTAGTGGTTAGTGCATTAATTTAGCTATTATAAAATTTGTAATTTGATTTTTGGGGAAAGTAGTTTTCCGAGTTAAAAAATCTAGTAATTTGTACATTGGCACCTGATTAAGATATAATGGATCTATGAGTTATTGCTCATTACCACCTGATTTTGGCCAAGTAGGACTCATGCCCAATATGCAGCATAATTTAAAAAATTTGTTGCATTTGTTTTTTTCATATGCGTCCTTATGAGCCAGCTAGCATTAAAATATCCACAGTTTGATTTTTGATAGAGCACAGTTGATTTTTTTCACATTTCTCACTCCAAACTTAATACTCTCTGCAAAGTTTATGAAAACTTCACGAACCAACAAGTTAGTTTTCAATTTATATTATCAAAAATCTGCATTTTTGTTAAAAAAATGAAAATGTACAGTCTTTGTCTATGTGCTGTTCATTATCAAAAAGAAAATGAAGGTATAGATAAATCAGCAAGTCTGTAGTAATAAAAATAAAATACATTAACTTTTGTGTGGGTTTCAGTGGGAAAGCTTTTAAATTGTAGTATGTAGTTAGCATGCCTACACTTAACTATTGCTGTGGTATATAAAATTATATGCACTAATAATAGTAAATCTGATTTAATATTTTGCTTTTATTTAAAGTTGGATCATGTGGACATTGTAAGAACACTGCTTTCTTCTGGTGCTCATGTAAATATAAAAAACTCAATTGGTGAAACTCCATTGGATTTGGTGGAATCAGATAAAATGACTGCAGCATATGTGAATGAGCTTCTAGAATGTGCTGGTAAATCGGAGTAAGTTAATAGATTATTTATTCTAGCTTCAAATGAAATGGTTTTTTTTCCCTTTCTCGTGTAAACATCGATATGCATAGTACCTTCAGTTCATTAAATGAAATGGTTCTCCTCTCATGTAAACATTGATATGCATAGTACCTTCAGTTCATTAAAAGCATATAACTGCAAACTGAAGTATTTCAGAAGTGGAATGCCATTTTCAAATTACGTACTTATGAAATCTCTCTCTCTTTTTTTTTAATCCACATTGAGCTAAAAGAGTAATAACATATCATAATATCGCACATCCTGTTCTCACTATATAGAATCAGAGCCAGTTTTTTCCCTATAACAGCTAGTAAGATCAAAACTACATTTGAACTTAATTAACTATTTTGATTAGAATAGATCGAAAGGTGCCCCTTGGATTATCGCTAAGTTGTTATTTCATTTATCACCAAGTTGTTGTTTCATTTATGATAACCTGAGTAGCTGAATGCTATGGAAATCCTTTTATGTTGTAATTGGGTGATTGATTGCAGTGAATTTGAATGATGAGAAAAGATTTGGAAGGCTTGTTGGTGTGTCGGATTTTGGACAAGAAATATGTTCTTATTTTGTGGTTTACACGGTCAAAGAACTGAATGTTGTAAGATTAATTTGAAGTTTCTGTACTCTTTGGAATGAAAGGAAAAAAAGCATTAATTGACTGGTGTGTAAATGAAGGTTTACTTAGTTGCCATAAGTGTCCTGTTGTACGAAGGAAATGTCTATGGTCGGACGATGCCTGCAGTACGGAGGATATTTTTTACTCTTATTTTTGTGAATTTATGTGGCGACGCCAGTATATAGATTCTAGTTCAGGTAATTTTAGGAAGTTTTGGATGTTGTTAAGGAATTTTGTTTGACTGAAGACAAAGGAAATTGTAAATAAGGTAAGTGGATATTTCCTTTTTGTAATGTTAAGATGAATTTCCTTTATGTTATTTCATTGATTTAAAATTTAGTTTATTAAGATTATATATTTTTTGTTGGCTGTTCCTTTGAATTTTTAGTGAATATAAATCGATGTGTACATGGATAAAGTTAAAGGAGTGTGCAATTCTCTGATGGTTTTTTAAGTGAAACTAGGTCAATGTGTACATGGATAACGAGCTTGTGCAGTTCTTTGACTTGTTATTTTTAATTTGTAATGCTGATTTATGGTGCAAAAATCGCCGCTACGCAAAGCCAAAATAACAAGACAAAGATATGCACAAACTCGGTGTCCATATACTGCCAATTATCGCCAAGGGGCACCCTTAAATATATTTTTACCACTATTTCTTATTGTTGTGTGGGAGTTTTTATCATCAACACCACTTTTTATTTGACTAAACAAAATAACCATTTGTGCATTTCTTTGGCAAAGTACACTTTGCCAAAGGGATGTTTAAATCTGTATTTGAAAAGTGTTTATTTTTCTGGTATAAAATTTGAATAATAAAAAATGTTGGAATATGGTAATGTAACTTTTGGAATTATATCTAAAGACATGTTTGTCAAACTCAAATTACTTTCAACTACTTATAATTAAAAAAGTATACACTGAAATTCCTATATAAAAAAATGTGAAAAATATTTCTTTATGATTTTTGTTTTTGCAAGCTCTTTTCAACAATAGTAAATAAGAAACTCAATACTCAATACAGTCAAAAGTCGTTAATCCGGACTCCTCGGGACTTCGGCGATTACGGATTATCGATTTTTCCGGATTATAGATCATCAGTTTAAATCTGGTAAGATGGCATGCAGAAATTACAAAATTAAAAATATGAAACCGTAATTTATGAAATAAAGAACAATTATGATCTAAAGGGTATCAAAATTTACAAAAAGAAAAAGCTTAATATTTATTTGTTTACTTTATTAAACATTTCCTTCAATGTAAGTTGCTTCTTTTCATGTGATAATACTTTTTCTTTAATTCTATTAAACAGACATAATTTCTTGTTTAGTTACAAAGTTCCGCTGTTCAAGTCCTATAATTGCTGTGTTGAGAATACCGACTAATTTGTCAATCGAAATGTTTTCGTTTTCAATAACCTCTGGGTCCCTTTCTTGGGTTTTCATCCGCAGAGAACCCGTTGGCGCCGTTGCATTTTTACTCGCCAAGCTCGAGGTTCATCCACGATGAGCCGTAAACGTGATTTTTAGTGCATGTAAGTTCATGTTGCAGACAAAACAATCTATTAAGCATATGGTTGTAAAAATTCACAGATAATAAGCATGTAGATGTAAAACTAACCGGTTAAACGTGATATATGAAAATAAACCTGTCTTTTTTATAATATATTTCACAATACAAATAACCTCCAACACTAATCAAAATTTCTTTAGTAGCATGTTAATAAAACTAGAAACTTTATACATTTATTATTTTTCAAGAGTTATTTGAACTGTATTCCTTACACCAACAGTGGTTTGCTAATTTTGATGACCATGGGGATGCATCAAACTACTCTGTCGTCTTAGATAATCAATAATATTTTTTATTTCCATTTAATTATTTATGTCACACCTGCCATCCTCGGAAAGGTTATTATTAGAAAAGCATTAACAATATAGTATCTTGTTAAAATTTTACGCCATAAAAATTGGAGCCGAGAACCGGCATCTATCGACGAAAACTTCTTTAATTATACGAAAATATTTCTATCTATTCGTTGTTAAAAAATTCAGAAAAAATAACGTGGAAAATCAGAAAAAATAATAATAAATAAGAGAAGAAGAATATAAATCTCCAAATGCGAATAACGACAGTGATAATTCAACAAAATGAACTCACGAGGAATGGTTGCAACCTTTAAACAAGCGAATAGGATGAATCAATGAATCGTATAGGTTACCAGGTTTGAACTATTATCGCCAAAGTTGGCGATGTTTACATTTACCGGGTTCTCTGCGGAAGTGCTTCCAGATAAAATACTACACTTAGTATGGAATTATAAACCAAATAAAATAAAAACATCTGCCCTGAAGATAAGGATAGTGCTGACAGATTAACTTCCAATCCGCCGCGTGAAATTGATAAACAGATTTCAGATTTCAAAACATACTTTCGCTTTGTAGATACAAATTACAAATTAGTAAATATATATCGGAAATTTTATTTGACATAATCTTTCTAATCTATCATAATCTAATAATGACGTTTCTGCCCCCCCTCTGCCGCAGAGCAGCGTGAAATTGATAAACAGTTTTCGGATTTCAAAACATACTTTCGCTTTGTAGTAAATATATATCGGAAATTCTATTTGACATAATCGAAAGTTCAAGCTTACTTTTATAAAATTGCTCTAACAGTCTGCAAAAAATAATAAGCTGGATCCAATTCGAAGATTAAGGAACAACGGAATCTGCAACATTAACTGAATTAGATAACTTTAGCTTAGCGTATAACTCCGTTACACATTAAACGCGCATGCGCACAAACATATTCGCAGCCGTAAGGGTCTTACGCGCTCTCGTAAACGCCTGTGCGCATGCGTGAACGCGACGCATGCGCAGAAAGTTTTGTAGCTTTGAGGTCCGGATTATAGATCATTCCGAATTATGGGTGTCCGAATTAACGACTTTTGACTGTAATAACATAAGACAGGAGGACTATAATATGGAGACTAGAGTTTTCTTTGCAAATTTTTTGGTCGAGCTTTGGCTGATATCTCTTGCATGCTTTGTTTTAATTAAATTAACCAACAAATTTTGGGTCCAGCTGTTTCTAATTCAGTTCTTTCCTGTTAATGGTGCATAGTTTAATACTAAATATAAACATTGCATGAAATCAAACTAGAAAGCTTAGCAATATATACAGCTTCTAGAGGTTATGACTATTTTTTTTTTAAAATTCTATTATTACTATTTCTATAAATGCAAAAACAAAGACAAATCCAAAAATACAAAATAGATTTTAACAGATTAATTTCATATGATGCTAAAATCATAAAGCTGATGAATTTGATTTCATTTGACATGTAAAACATTTGCTTCATCTCCATAAATCGATGTGCCACATGAATTTGATTAACGAATCTAGCTGGTGGCATTCTAATATTTATCCTCCCATTTTTTTATTACTTTGCAATTATGCTACAATTTGATTTTTTTTTTTAGAAAAGCTCAGCACTTGATCATAAAAGAAAGAAAATAATAATAATAATAAAACCTTAGGGAAAATGTGCATTGCATAGCTACTTATGTTGAAATATAAATTGGCTATTGCATTTAGCGCTTTGGTGCACAGTTACGACTGATGTCCCATTAATAAAAAAATATTTCATTTGTCATTATCATGGCATTTATTCCTCTTTGTCATGCATTTATTGTTCTTCTTAGAACAGATCGCATATGTGAGCTGGTAAATGCTGGAGTAGATGTAAATAGCCAAGACTGCCCAGGTAGTGGAAATCGGGCCTTACATTGGGCTGTGTGCTTTGATAAACCAGATGCAGTGCACTGTTTATTAAGTAAGAAAGTACTGTATGAAACTAGTTGATTGTATAATAAATTTATGTTTTAATAATTTTATGAGAGAACGAATTTTTAATTTCAAAGATGTGAAAAACTGTTACTATTTCAGAATAAATGCATACTAGACAATAAATATTTTATATTTTTTCATTATGCCAAGCATAAATACTTTATTTTAGAAACTGAATGACCTTATAATTGGAAATAATTCTTTTATTATTCCTTTACATTAATCGTAGTTCTGGAAAAACAAACAAACAAAAAAAAAAAAAAAACAAAAAAAAAAAAAAAAAAAAAGAGTTTTTTATTTTTATTTTTGGAATTTCTTAAAATTTATTTAAAATGTAATTAATCTTAATAATCTGTGAATTTTATAAAGAGTTTAGATTGATTAAATTAGTGTTCATTGAATTATTTTTGTTTTCCAACTTGAAATATATTATTTATCTCTATATACCTTTTAAAAGTGTTAAAAATGTTTCAGTATTCTGTAAAATCCTTTGCTTGTATTTTATCTGTTTGGTTTTTATAAAAGTATTATGTGCAAGTTCATAATTTTTTTCTAAAGGTTATACAGTACAAAGTCCGGAATTTAATTCGTCAGGACTTCAGCAATTCCGAATTTCTGAATTTTTGAGATTTTAGATCATAAATTTAAATCTAGTAAGATGATATGTAGAAAATATAAAATTAAGGATTTGACGTAGTAACACTGAAGCATTTGTGATCTTAAAGGAATCAAAACTTACGAAAAAGCTCAATATTTATTTGTTTGCTTTATTATACACTTCTTTGAATATGAGATGTTTAAATTACTTAATTAAAGAAATTACATTTAATTAATGTAATTTCTTGTTCAGTTACCAAGTTCCATTGCTCAAGTCCTGTAACTGCTGAGTCAAGAAGTTACGCTAAATTGTCAATCAATATTTTTTTGTTCTCAGTAACCTCTTTGACTCTCCTAGCAATATTTTCTGCTTTCAGAACCATACTGCAGATTTCATGTAGTGTCTCATTTAAGCGTAGCCCAATGCTTAGCTAACAAGAACACTATTGGTGTTATATCAAGGGAATGACGAATAAAGATGTGTTGTTCCACTAAATTTTATCTTTCTTCAATCGCACACTGGATAAATTAAGCCTGAATTATGTTAATTTAGATCATAATTATGTCTATTTCCTGCATATGCTTAAGGCTTACCTGAGCCCAAATAAATAAATTCCTGCATATACTTAAGGTTTATCTGAATAACAAATCTGTTATTATTAATTTAAGCAGCACTAAATGTAAACTTTTAGACTATGACTAGCATTTACAATATCCATTTTTTGCATATGGGAAGAAATTTCTGTTAAATTTCTCTTCATCAATTCACTCAATGTTTTACAGCACAGTTGACTAAAGTCTGTAGTTGTAACCAAGCATAATGTCTACATAAAAGATTACCATGCTGTTTGGTATTCAATCACTAATATTTTGAAAAAGTTGTTTGAGACATTGCAATGAGTCATTTCTCAAGCTGCCATTAGTTGATAATCATGTGGTGATGAAAGCAAAAAATAATAAGTAATAATTTCCAGGTTGGTGTCAGAGATATAAGTTATTCAGTAGATGTAAATTAGCGCTGATGGGCAAAACAGCTCTTTTACAGGATTGGATCAGAACGTTCGCTCTCTAAAATGAATCTGTTGTTTTCTGTGACTCACCACTTGCTAATAAAAACCTTGATGAAAAAAGATCCGGAATGAGGTGCGAATCAAGGACAGTTAGCAATGATGGAGCAAAGACTGGAAAGAATCGAATGAATGATGGGATCAGGATAGGTTAATGGGTTTAGAACAAAATGCTGATTTTTTCGGCTGTAGTTTGAAAATTCCTTAAAACATCTTTTCTATACAGAACTAACAATAAAATTCCAAAATAAAAATTAAAAAAAATTGAACTCACATTTAATATGAGAACATAAACATTCTTTTCTTCCTCGAAATGGGAAATGAACCTTCCTTGTATGCTTCAAAGAGTTGCGTTCCTTTTTCACCAGTCAGGTGTAAGCTTGATCAGTAAAGTAAACCATTTTGTGAAGGAATAACAGATCTGTATTCTTGACACACTTCCAACAAGAGCACTGTAAAAGAGCCACAGCTTCATTGAAACGGCATACATTCTACAGCATACATTTTCTGAAATTGGGGTAAATTTATTCAGCAAAGTGAATCGGTCCTTTGGATCATTTCCAGAGTGGATTGTCCAAGTATTTCAGGCATGTTAGAAAAATTTTGCATATATCAAATCAATTTTTTTAGGAACTTTATATCCAGTTATCGCTTAGTTTTTTTTTGTACATGGAATATAAAATTATCTTGTCAACCATGAAAGTTGTTAAAGGTCTACCTAAGCTACACCAATTAATCCTGTGGAATTCTGAAGGAACTGACATCTCTTTTATTTAATAAGCAATTAATATTTGACCTGCTTTTATTTGTGCTTCATAAAAGGGCTTTTGTTGATTTCTGCTACAGTACACTCCTGATTATACACAGAATTGGGTGGCGCGGCCGTCGCGGATAACAAAAATCGCGGATAATCTGAGAACAAGCTAAAAACGGGTATAGCAAAAGGAAAAACAGTCATTCCAACTTTGAAAAATCATTTTAATACAATAAAGAGTAAAATAAAGAGCAGAAAATGTTTAACTAACGCTTAATATTTTAGTATATCACTTAAAACTAACCTAAAATGCATTTTGTTAATGAAAAACAGAAAAGTGCTTTGTATACTTACTAGAGGCATCAAGGATACACAGAAAAATTAATATATATGTACTGTTTTAAGTACTGTAATGTATTATGTAATTACAAAAGCATAAACTGTAAAACTACACCTTTTTGAAGAAATCAGTCATTTGTGTTTGCTTTTTGCTTTGGAAGCATTTTCTCTTGATTCGAAGATTGCATTTTTTGTAGCATAAGTTTCTCGGCCAACTCTCATCGTCATCTTGTTCTTCCAGCAATCTGTCGACTTGTTGCAAAGCCGCTTCGTGAGTCTTCTGCATCTGCACAGTGGGCTCTTCTTCGGCTCCTTCATTCTCGGTCTCTCCCCTTGCTTTCTTCACAATTTCGTCATCTGTCAAGCGTTCGAAGACAGGTTCGTTGACGTCACACTACAACCACTCGTTAATGTTTTCAGCATCAACGTTCTCACCAAAAAGCACAAGCACTGAACACAATAAAAGATAAGAAATTAACTCGGACCGGTTCGCAAACATTATCAGGCTTAAACTAACAGTGGCGAGTGGGAGGAAGTAGACGTTTCAGTAAGATTAAGACGAGAAAGGGCGGTAGAGCGGGCACTGCAAGGATGAGTAAGAAATGACTTACTCACCAGAGGGGCAGAGGGAAAGGTTCCAGCGCGGATAACCCACCCGCGGATAATTGGGAGTCTACTGTATGCAGGTCGTTATTAGGTCTAGTTTGACACGAATGATTTAAAGGATTATTTACAGTATGATAAAATTAGATTCTACGAAGCTAATAAAATTCTTTACGTTAAAGAAATCATGAAATGAAATTGTAAACACAAGAAAAAAGAAAATAGTAAAGAAACTCAGCAATATAATTTTGAATACTATTGGTATGATTAAAAAGTATTGGTATGATGGAGATGTCAGAAAAATTAAATTACGAATAAAAAGAAGTTTAATGCATGTTGATGCTTTACGCTTGTAAAAAAAAAAAAAAAAAAAAAAAAAAAAAAAAAAACTTTGTGTGGCAGGCACAGATAATCCACTCCATGGATAATCAGGAGTCTACTGTATTTTGTTAGGCTCCGTCATTTTACCAGAACCTTTGTTTAGAATGTTGTAAATACAAACTTCTTGTAGGTAATTGTTCTAATCTATTTGAGGTACTGCTTTGAGGTAGCATCCTATAACTTGAAAAATAATTCATTGCTTTTTGTTCTATAGTAGGCAGGTCCCAAATTTTAATAATTTTTTTAAATGTATGAAAAATACAGCGGTAACCGTTAATTTATATCTTTGGTCATAGAAACAAAAGGTAGCTTAAGGAGAATCATCATACCCAAAGCATAGATGTTATGAGTACCTTGTTATGTCACACTTATTCATAATTGTTGTTAAATCACACTACTTGGCAACAGCTTCACTGTTGGATAAGATGAAAGATAAGTAGTATTATGTTTTATATCTCAGCTTACAAAGAAGATAATGGTATACTAGGGAAAAATATAGTGGAGAAAGAGATAAATGAGAGGGAATGTTTTGAGGAAAGAAAAAAATATCTTATAAAAATGCATCAAACTATTCTTTATGTATATGTGTGCATTGGATTATCCACCAGCAAAATAACTTTCAAAGGAATTTTTTTATGTTCTTAAATGAAAGAATAAATAAATAAATGCACTGTTTACAAAAACCTGTACTGTAAGATTTTCCCTAAATTTAATCCATATGCTAATTCTGCCATAATATTCTGTGCATGTGATATTTATTGGATTAATGCTATTAATAAAGAACTCAGTGCTAAGAATTTTGCCAACCAAGACAAGCTTTATGTTTCCTGAATTTTTAAAATTTTGGTGCAGCTACATTTTACCATCTGGTGTAATTATATTGGCTCTGACTCATAGTTATCAAAAAGGGGTAGAATTGAGATATTGGCTATATTAATTTTCTTTAGCCCATTTTTCTTTATTGTGTTTTCCAATGTCAGAATACTCTGTAAAATTTTGTTTTTAATAAACCGAAATTCAACATTGATAAGCTTGCTGGTGGCATGGAATATATATATATATATATATATATATATAAATTAAAAAAAATTATTTGCATTTAAAACTCAGAACTTGAAAAGTTGTAGACATCTGAATTCTTTTTTACGTATGCTAACTTAAATTTAATTATAAAAGATAACAATGTAAAACTGAAAGGCTAGATTAATCTATAACGAAACAAAAAAAAAAAAAAAAAAAAAAAAAAAAAAAAAAAAAAAAAAAAAAAATTGCAGAGCCTCAGGATCAATGTTTACTGTTAAATGAGGCTAGTGATGTGTGGACAGAAAATGTGATTCTTTTCTGTTAAAGCATAATCTTGGTATTTATTTATTTGTGTATGCATGTTTTGTTTTGGCATATTTTATCAGCACCAGACAGTGCTATTTTTATTTGCCTTCTTTCCTGGCAGTAATACTTTATTTAACTATAATTTGCATTACGTTGTTCTTATAGTTATCTTTACTGTTAGTTTGGTACTTTTCTGTTAAAGGACTGCCATTTAGTGCCAAACATAAATATTGGCACCAAGTGTAAATATGTAGCAGCAACCCAAACAACATATAAAGCTTCATGAAAAAAATGAACTTGTAATAAGAATAATATACCATATAACATTATATGTATAATATATGCAGTGTCAAAGCTGTGTACAGCATGTAATTTGTGCAATTCTCTGATTTTTTTTTTTAAGCAAAAGCAGATCGCTGTGTTTATGAGAAGAACAGCAGATTACTGGGTGCTTGGGAGAGTAACTGATCAATATGTACATGGGAAGAACTTCTGTTCTCCACATACACAGTGATTATTTTTTCTCTTAAACGACGTCAGAGTATTTCACAAATTTGGCATGCATAACCTTATAATTGCACACATTAAATGCTTCACAACAATGCATGACATGATATAAACAGGCTACCATATTTGGGCACTTTGTTGCACATTTGCTGATTGGTGTACATATTAGAAGAGTATTTTTTAAACCACAATGAATTTTATGATTTAGGATTTGCTATAATAGGGCTAAAAATCACAGTTGGAGCTGTTATATTTTCTGATTGATATGAACATTTCATAGTAAATTTTTCTTATTGTTTCATTGATCTGGATACTTTTAGTCTGTTCAGAGCTTTGGGTTGTACAAAATGACACAATAAGTGCCAAAAATGATTGCCCACCGAAACTTTTATTTGATTGAATTCATGAGGTACGTATTGCATTCCAAATGTGAAATGTTCTGTGCTGTGCTAAATGTCTTTTCTGTCTCCTGTTTATCATTCCTTTTCGCACAGTGCAGTGTTTATTAATTACTGTTATTTTTTATTATAATTTGTGTATTTTATTTAATTATTTAAGCTTCTATAAATGTAGCAACAGTTTATCTATATTTCCTTTTTCTTTTTGAAAAACGATTTTAGAGATGAAATCAATAGAAATCAAGGGAGGAGATTTGCCAAGAGATGTTTAGTAAGTGAAGAAAACTTTAAAAGTATTCAGGGAAAAAGCATCTAGTTTTAAATCACAGGAGATTGGGGAAAAAAATGAAATAAAACATGCAATACGGCACTGAAAATCTGTGGTATGGTTTTATAGGAAAAGTATCAAAAATGCTAAATAATTCTAACAATGAAATAAATTTACCTCTTCAATTGAAATATGACAAATACATATATATCTTTTTTAATGGAATGAAAATATCACCCACTCATTATTAGATTTATAGAGTTTTGATGATAATTTTTTGTATAATGACTAGTTAGAAATGATTTCAGATGCTTAAAGGATCTATGTAAGAGCTAGACTATTTGACTGGTAAACTAACTGCCGTATTTTCAAATTTAGAAACATTTTTCTTAAATGAAAAATTAATTGAATAAGATGTTTGTAACTGTGTCATAAAGCACAAATAAGTGTTATGATTCAAATGGTGGTGGTGGAGAGGAAAAAAAAAGTCCTATAGCCAAGCAGTGCGATATAGCGCCGATAATAGATAATTGTGACATCACACCCCAATCATAAGATCTTCACCTTGGCTTTATGTAGACCCATATATTTTTCGATAAGTCGGTTTAATTTCTTTTCTTTTCTTTTTTTTTTTTTTTTAACGTAAGTTGCTATTTATCTGTTTTTCAATCGCATTTTGAAAAAATGATTAAAATTTCAGACTTGATTTCAGCAGAACAGCATGTAGTAAAGTATTTTCAAAATTATGGTTTCCTTTCCTCAAGAAAATGGCAATTTATGTGAAAATGGATAAACATTGTCTGTGCAACAAGAAAATTTATGATCTTTGACCGTGGCTTTGAAAGAGGCATGCAACCAGTTGGATTTTACCTGAATTTGGGAGAGCTCTAGACTGTTGATCTGTATGTATACATATGCAAGCATGAAGCTCTGCTATAATTGGGATAAAAAAAAAAAAAAAAAAAAAAAAAAGCTTTATATGGCAAATTATTGTGGCTACCATAGCATTTTGCTCTTCGATTCTATCGCAGAAATAGATAGTATTCCAAGCTATTGATGAAAGTTTTCTGATAGGCAGATAGGAGGTTTACTTATAATGTGTCAACTAGTGGCTGTAAGAAACAGAATGAAGAGATGCAAAAATATTTGGAAGTATACAGCAAAGGGGCAGTGGAAGAATACAAATGAAGTGCAATGCAATTTAGATACTAAAAAAGCTATGAAATATACACAAATAAGGTGCAATCGCAATATAGATTAGTATATAGCATTGTGATGAATTATGTATGGGCATTTAAAGATATTTTCAATAGTAGGATAGTAATCAACTATGTATGTAAGCAATATGGACATAATTATAGTTCATAATTTTCCTGAAGTTATGATAATTTGCAAAAATAGAATCTTGTTTGTGTGGAATTTCATGATTTTGGTGGAGTTGCTGATTTTGCACAAACCACATGTGTTGGTAACTGCTGTCAGGATTTTGTTTTGAAATATATTATGATTTTTTTTTCCTGCAAGTCTTGGGTACTATTGCCTACATTTGGACAGCATAGAATAAAACAGGATGAATTAGATTAAGATATAAGATTCTTTTGATGCATAAATCTAAGTTTGATTTTCTCCCTATGAGAGTGTAAATCACCATATCAGCAGCATTGGCTTTGTTTATGGCATATATTGCATGCTTCTCAAAATTTAGTTTTCATCTTAAATAACTCCTAAATATTTTATATAATGTACAACTAGGAGTACATAATTTAGAAGTAGGCATTTCATATTTTAATTGCTAATGAATAAAATTACTCCTTTTTTTATAATTTGAGCCCAGATTTTTTCCTCCCATTCATTTGGCTTTTCTGCTGTGATTGCATTTTTTTATATTCTTAATCATCCTGAACTTTCACATACCTAGAATTCTATATTTCCCAAGCTTTCCAGATAGTCGAGCTTTTACTGTATGCACGCTTTAAGGTGAAAAGTAGGCTACTGTTGTAGTTGAGTGGTGACACTTGCATTTGGAAGAATGAAAAGGTCTTGTGGGTCCAGATGTTCCATTATTTTTGCATTTTACTAGAATTTCAAAACCGTAATCTTTCCAGAAATATAGTAAATGGAAAGTTATTGATATTTATATATTAGGGCAGATGCTTTTGCAGTTTGAAAATATTTTATACAGAAGAAAAAGAATGATGGTTTAATATTGAAAAAAAAAATATTTGTTATATATAACTGAATATTTATCTTGTAAATTATTAAGTAAACTTGTCTGCAAATTGTTTTGTTTTGGTAGAAACTTCATTGGGCTTTTTTTAAGAATGGACTCAAAAGAATTGTTCCCTTTAGTGATTTTACTGGGAAAAAATGTATTTCTACAGAAATTTACTGCAGTCTTTTCTGTTAAAGGCAAGTCTCACAAGAGCATGCTAAACAATTGAATTTAAGCCAAAAATATCTTAATTTGCTGATAAAAATCCAGTGGAACTCGGAATGCAATAAACACATATGAAAATGGCCACATTTAAATGGTCTTATTAAAACTAATTATTGTTATTATTGTTATGCTTGTGGTTGCCGGAGTTTCTCAAAACTTGGTGAATTCTAGTAAGTTGGTTTTATTAATACATAAATATCAATTTATTTGCACATTACACTAGAATAAGCACCTAAGATTCACTGAGAAGGAGAAAGACAAATATGCTGTGCGTTATTTAGTGTCTTTGATGTGCTGCCACAATTACATAGTTGAAATATTGAATGATATTAGTGTAAGAGAGAACATATGGTTTTTGCCGATAATACAAGTATCAAAATAACTGATTTTGCAGTAGAAGTATAATACTTTCCTGAAAGAAAAAGGTTAACAATAAAGATGCATTGTATTATGGGATAAACAACATGTTTTATTCTTGGTAATTTTCCTTGAAGTTGCAACGAATAATATTCTGTTTCCCAAGCAATATTCACGCATTTCGTGATATTGTTATGATACCTTGAAGCAACTATGGAACAGAACAAGATGGTATTGAGATTTTGAGTTTTGAAATTTTTTTAGTAAATAACATTCATTGTAATATGCTGCTTAGTCTCTCTTCATTTCGATCATCCCCAGTTAACCAACCTTGTTTGGCACTGTTTGATATTCACTAGTATTATTTTAAGAAGGTCTTTGCTGGTAGGAGGCCCAAGAAAGTGTAGTGCAGAAATTTCTTGTATTGTTCATGCTCATATTATAAGAAGAGAGTATACAAAAACATTTTGTTTCTTGCTAAATAATTTAATTGAATACTGGAAGCAACTGTATGGGAAATCAAGATGGTAAAAGTGTAATTTCTTAGACAGTATTTTTAAAGTGGTAATTTATTTTCAGAATTGTTATTGGAATAGTTTATTTTCAGAATAGATTTTGTGAACACAAATAAAGGGAATGAATTGCTATGTACTAAGATAAATGTTATATTGCTTAGAATCTTTATTGAAAATCACTATCATAAGCAAATATAATATACTATAATAAGCTTATATCACTATTTGATACTTAATTTAGTAGAGATGGAAAATAATTATATATATCTTTTTACTTATTTGATTTAAAAAATATTGTTTTTACTATTCAAACCAGGTCTTAGAGCATCACCAAATGTTGTTAACTGTTTGGGTGCTACCCCCCTCCATGAGGCTGTTAAAAGAAAAAATATTGAGATTGTCAAAGCTCTTTTAAATGCTGGTGCTGATCCTACAATTAAAAGTCGTAAAGGGTATGTGAACATAATCTTCTATTTTATTCTGTTTGTATTTCATGCTCAGTATTCAGGTTATGTAAAAAAATAATGTAGTGACTTATTTATAACTTTATTGTGAAATACTTTAAAACAATCTGTATGAGAAATCAAGTTATAAATAAGTCTTTCATTTGTACCCTACTAGTTGATTTATGCAAAACATTATGTTGTAAATGCTGAGACATCTGCTTTTCAAAAGCAGTAGCTATATCTTATGTTTCTGTTACTGAGAGTGAATTAAAAACTTTAGCAATGAAGGCAATAGTATGTCTCTTCTATACAAAAAGGCAGCTGTAAGTTTTTATTTAGTATTTATGACTTGTTGCAGATTATTGCATTTTGAATTCACATTAATGAATGTATTATTTTATCAGGATGAGAAATAAGGGTATAAATCTTTCATTTATGCCCTATGATTTATGCAAAACATTGTAATATAAATGCTGAGACATATGCAATGCAAAAGCAATACCCATATTTTCTGTCTCTGTTGAAAAATTGTAACAATATAGTGAATATATCCGGACATCTAGACATATAATAATAATGAAGTTAATATAGTACAAAGTCTGAGATCCGGACATCTAGTGTCCGGAATGATCTAAAATCCAGATCTCAGTCCCACCTTCACCTTTTTTAAAATTTTGTTTTGTATGCTTTATGCTTGCATATTTGATTATGTCTCCTGCACATAATAAAACACGTGGAGAGTCCCAATTCGTAATTTCACTGCAGCACTAAATAAAATGCCTCGTTATTGAAGAAACAATCATTTTATCATAAATTTGTATGATTGAGAATTTGGCTCCAATCTGTATCTACTTGGTGTACGATGCACAAACAATTTTTTAAAATTAGTAACTAAATAATAAAGAGTATGGAAACCTTTTACATTGACATTATGCTTGGTGATGATTACGGATTTAAGTTAACCTTCCAGCACGCGGGCTTGGCAATTTTACATGAGCACGCCCATGTTGTATTTTTTACAACATCCGTTATTTTACCATTTTGGACACGAAAAACGATAGAAATGAGTGAATGTTGATAATAAATTTTTTAAGAAATAAAATATTAATCTTATTATTGCAAAATACAAATGATACCACATTTAAATATAAGAAATTATTTTGTTAGTGAGATGGAAATGCAGTGATGTATTTATTATAGAAAATTTTTAATTTATTATTTAATTATTATTTTTAAAATTGAAGCTATTTTAATAGTCATCAAGACAAATATAGACAATAAAAAAGGAAAACACTGGTAGTGAAAAAAAGTAAGTTTAGAATTACTTACTTCTGCAGCAAATTTACTCTTTTACAAAAGGACTTAAACTAACTGTAATGTTTTTATTTATTTCTCAAAAATAGAAAAAAGAAAATAAGGAATGGAAAGAAATAGGAGCGGAAATTGCTATTGTTCTCCCATCCAAATGTTCCTTGTCTTCCTTTTCTTCATCAGATAATTCTTGAAGAATCCAAGCAAAATCAGCTCGTTGTTTTGCCATGTAAACCGATAAAATTTACAGAGCAAATGTATTCAATTAAAATAATACACGGCAATTAAGACACAAAAATTACAAAATATTTGAGAAAAAATATTTTCTGAATTTTAAAACACAACCATGTCATGTCATAACTTTTATGAAAAAGCAGTCACGTAGCACAAAAGCCCAGTACAAAAAAAAAAAAAAAAAAAAAAAAAAAAAAAAAGGCAAATGACTTCCTGTTGCCAGTTTCATGATGTGGGGAAGGGTAGAAAGGAGGAATAGAAATGACCTTCAGATGTCTCAGCTTCGATATGCAAAAAATGTGCATTAAGAACTGAATTTGTTGCAAATTTTGCATGTGCGCTTGCTGAAAGGTTAAATGGCGCAATAAATGTTGACGAGGAGAAATTTAATAAAAATTTCTTTCCATGTGCTAAAAATAGATTTTCTTAATGATACTCATAGGCCAAAAGATTACATTTAGTGCTATTTGAATAAAGGATAAACATAACCCAGAACCTGATTTGTTATTCACATTAACCCAGAACCAGCGCCAGGGCTCGTGCGGCCGCACTGGGTGGCAGAATTTAGAGAAGACAAAGGGAGGTGCTCGGTAGCAGAATTTAGGACTCGCAGAGACTGCATCACATGGCAAGATATCTAGTGCCGGCTCTCAATAATCTTAAGTATATGTGAGAATTTATTTATTCAGGACTCAGATAAGCCTTAAGCATGTGCAAGAAATATATGTAAGTATAATAAATAATTAATACAATTCAGTCTTAATTGTCTCATAGCACGATAGAAGCAAGATAAAATTTAGTGGAGTAACTTGTCTTTAGTCGCCAATCTCATGATACATAGCCAAATATGTATAGTGAACGATAGTTAACTTTTAGGATCACAGCTACGAATTTTAAAGGTTTTCAGATATCGCAAACCAAAGGTGAACTTTTGAAATTAAAGGATTTTGTAAAGAAATGTGAAAAAGTGGTAATAAATGAAGATGATATAAAAGAAGTTTTTCATTGTGATGACAGTGCTCCTCAATTATCAATCAATTAATTGATCGTAAAATCTGTAGTATGGTTTTAGACCCAGAAAATACAGCTACCGATAATGAAGAAAGTGACCAAGAGTTTACTGAAAACGAAAGAATTTCGATGGACAAGTTAGTTGGAATTCTCGACACAGCAATTACAGGACTTCAGTAATGTAACTGAACGAAAAAATATGTCAGTCTGCAGAATTAAAGAGAAAGTATTAGCACAAAAAAATAAAGCAACTTGAAACAATTTACATTGAAAGAAAAACAAATAAATATTAAGCTTTTTTTTTGTAAATTTTGATACCCGTTTTTCGTAATTTTGAAGTATTTATGATTTTGATCATATGCTTCATTATTTCATAAATCACAATTTCATAATTTCTACATGCCGTCATACTAGATTTAAACTGATGATCTAATATCCGGAAAAATTACAAATCCGGAATCGCGGGATCTCAGAATTTGTACTGTATATAGTGAAACTTTGTCTGTTTCTCAGGATAGCATGTCACATTCGCAAGAAAATATTGTTAAGAAGAAACTGCAACCCTATAAAAAAGCATTTTCATTTGTGATGAAACATAATTAATTTGTTTACTTCCTGAAGGGGAAATGATATTGAAATAGGAAATTGTAGTAGGGAAAAAAGAGAAAAGGATTATCAGTGTACATGACATATTCCAGGAGAAAGAAAATTAAACAAAATGTTATAAGGACATTTCTTCAGCTTATAAATATCCATGCATTCTCCGGGTTTCAAACTTAAGGCTTTGGTAGTTGGCTGCTCTACAGCAATATCAACAGGGTGGTTGTAATATATACTACTAAAGAGTATAAAATTTGCTGTTCCATGTGGCTGTAGATGATGAATGCTATGTTGATTTAAAATCCTGCCAATAAATATCATAATTCATGAACTTATAATTTAATAATTCAATTTAAGAATTGAAATTTTTACTTGTCAATAAAAATTTCATGAAATTCTTCTTCTCCATATGTTTGTGAATTTAAGTGCTAATAGTCGTAAGAGAAGGATGCGTAAAAAGGTAAGAAATATAAAGTTAGCTTCCTAAAAATTATTTGAGAAATTTCTGTAAGAATTGCATGCAAGTTTTAAAATTTTTTAAGGTTTCTTTCTTAAAATGTATTGCATGTTTGTAAATTAAGTGTTAACTGTCCTAAGAGAAGCATATATAAAAAGGTTAGCTTCCTGAAAGGTACCCAAAAGATGTAGATGAGAATTTTATGCAAATTTAAGGCATCGTTCCTTTTTAAAAATGTATTAACCTGAAATATTTATCCTGTACTTTAGAACTTAAAAATCATTTGTAAAAATCAATTAGTTTTTTAATAGGAATTTTTGCAATGTAACAAATTTACATAGTCAGCTTTGTATTCTTTCTAGAAACTGTAATAGTGAGCTCTTAAATAAATAAATAAAAAGCATATTAAGTATTTTAAAATTTGTTATTAAACTATATAGCATATTTAAATGGTGGTCGTGGACACTTAGCCAATAGGACACTTAACCAACACCAGTTAGCCGACAAGACATTTAGCTGACAGGGACTCTTAGCCGACATGTACACATATCCGACAGGACATTTAACCAACAGGACGTGTAGCTGACAAGGACATTTAGCCGACAGCACATTTAGCCGACACGGACACTTAGCTGACACAGACATTTAGCTGACAGGACACTTAGCTGAAAAGGACACTTCACCGTCACGGACAGTTAGCCGGTATGACATTAAGCCGACAATGAGTTTAGCTCTTCCCAATGCTTTTAGATTTCTAATGCTTTCACATTTCATTACTACTTTACTCAACACATTCATTCCCGTTCGCTCCTCCTGCTAATGACATTTCCTTTCCTTGTCAGGAAGTAGTTCACCCTACTCTTCACAACTAATTCACCCTACTCTTCACGACACTGAAATTACTTTTTTTATCTAAAATGCTATTTGCAGGTTAGGCATCACATATTTATTAATCTGGGATAGGGCTCCAGCACGGGAATATGTACCTTGTGGCCTGCGGCCACCTAACAGAAGTAGGTTTGGTTTATATAATTACGGCAAAGCCAGAGGGCTGTCTGCTTAATGGGAGGGATACCTTCGTGGAGGACTTTCTAAGGAAAACTGGCTATATATTTTACACATGGGGAAAAACACGAAAACTCCCATGCAGCCTCTCCGTTCGTGGGATTCGAAATTTGGACCGAACTGCCAGTGTTCGGTGACATTACCGCTCGGCTGCTGCTGGGCCTAACAGAAATACAGTGACCATTTTACTTAATATATAACCAGTCTCTTCCAATAAAAATTGCCTTTTTAGGCTAGAACTTTATAAGTGCATTAAAAAAAATGGGCACCAAAAATTTCCCTATTACCATGTAGCTAAAACAAAAATGAGAAAGAGAGGGAATGAAACAGAAAAAAAAAAAAAAAAAAAAAAATGAAAAGCGAAATGAAAATTTATACATTTTTAACAGATATTGAGTTAGTTATATTATATAAGAAAAAAATGAAACAATATAACATATTATATTGAAAATTACATGTCGCGACTTTCAAAACGGAGTACATAATATGATCTAGTTACATGACTGATCTAGTTAAATCTAGCATCGATAGATGTCACCACATTATGGTGGCTTTTCAGGATGTCTCGCTTTGCTCCACCCTCTTGGTGCCCCTCCTTCTGCACATTCCACCAATTTCTCTTTCGCGATTCTTCCATGTTCATAATTTCATATCGGCAAAGTTTTCGATATGAAGAGTGAAAAATGTAGTTTTTTCAGATATGTATTGAGTTATGAATGAAATAAAACCTTAAAGAAATATTTTACTTCTAAATTAAATATAATGCACCAGTTTACTGCTATAAACATTAACCTAAGCAAGTATTTTCAGTGAGAAGCGTGGTCAATAAAATGTTACAGAATTTTATCTCAAGTATGGTGGCATGAACAGCCCATTATAGAGGTCAATAATTTATACCTTTGATTGTCTTAAGAACTCGCTTTTTTATAATTGTTTCTAATAACAAAATAATATATATTTCGAAACTAACCCTTCACGACCATATGTTTTGATAAAAATGCAATTCAAGAATAACAATAAATTTTTATTGCATTATTCAGACTTTTCATGACAAGGAAAGGAAATTTTATTAGTGGGAGGAGCAAAACGATTTTGTAAGGGAAAGAATGTAACATGATGTATTTAGTAAAATAGTAATCAAGCATAAAAGTATTAGAAATTTGAAAGAGTGAGATTGGAAAATTAATATCATTAAGCAAACAAGAAAAATTTTTAATGATGTGAAAGTTTTCAAAGGAACCCAGGTGATTAAATGAAGAAGCTTTACAGATAAATTTTGAAGATCCCAAGTGTAATTAAGTGAACGCCGTACTAAGCTAAAAAAATTCTTTTTTCCTTTCAAAATTTAATTCATATTCCCTGACGAGAAATTTCAGCGCTTTTTCAATTTGGCCAATATACACCAAACAGCACGATGCATATCAAACAATGCTAAATTATCCCGATGATTAAAAGCATGTATAAGATCTTTAAGAATCAAAAAATGAATTTTACTCATAGGTGAAAAAATAACTTAAGTATTGAACTTATGGATAAGTCGAGAAAGTAAGTTTAAGTAATTATTGGGTATGTGTCAACTGAACGTCAGTGTCGGCTTAGTGTCCTGTTGACTAAGCGTTTTGACAGTTAAGTGTCTTGTAGCTAAATGTCCTGATGGCTAACTCTCTGTGTCAGCCAAATGTCCTGTCGGCTAAGTGTACTTGTCTGCTAAATGCCCATGTCGGCTAAATGACCTGTTGGCTAAGTGTCCGTGTCGGCTAAATGACCTGTCAGCTAAGTGTCCCGCCGGCTAACTGGTGTAGGTTAAGTGTCCTGTCGGCTAAGTGGTTGTCGGTTGTCACGGACCCTTTAAATGGTTAGGTTTTAATTTGAAACTGCTTGTTTGATAAGAAAACTACTGATATGATTTCTAATGAAGTGTTTCACCTTTAGTACATTTTATTTTCAGAAAATATTTTGGCAGAACACCATTACAACTTGCTGAAGGTGATGAAGAATTGACAAACATCCTGTTAGTTTATACTAATAAAGATTCAGGCTCTGAAAGAAGTATGTTATGTATTTATTTATAAGTTGAGAATATACAGTAATCCCCTGACTTATGTAAATTTGCAGTTATGTAAGTGTGCAAAAGTTGCAACATTCAAACTGAGAACTACCAATTAGAAATAAGGAAGAGCTCCATAAAATGTTCCGAAGAAAGTATTCTGTAAACAGTTCCTCCTGTCTCTGATCCATACTTCTTGCATTTAAACAATATTTGTGCAATTAGTTCAGTCACTTGTTTATAACTGCTAATATTCATTGTTTATTTTCCCTTAAAATGTATTTAAAATGTGAGACAGAATGATGTTGCATGTTAGCAAGCCGTAGATTAAGGGATATTATTTGTGCATTCCAAACAGAAATATGCTTATTACATATCTCAAAACACTGCACTGCATGGTATTAGAATTTCTAAGTGCAAAATAAGCATCATTATTAATTAGAAAGGGAAAATAGTCAATCATTACTTCTACATCCAAAGATTCCAAACAGATACATTGGGTGGTCGGTTAACAAATAGTTCGGACTGCGAACAAATTGGACAACTAACACTTTCATGAAAGATTTTTGTGTTCGGCCAACAAACACATATCCAGATAACGAACACTTCTTGGACTCTCGGAGCATAATGTGCAGGGTTGCCAAACCCAACAGAACAATAATCGTTTTTCATCTCTCTTGAATATGTTGCTTGCCTATTTAACTTTAAAGTTCTATTCTGGGGGAAAAAAGTGAAAGTTGTGTCCATCCTTCATTCAATGAGACGGAGGTAATCAGGAAGACACACCTGAAATTATGAATGAAATTTTGACAGCTGCTAGAGATCTGGATTTGGAGGTGAACGAGGATGATATAGAAGAGCTCTTAATGGAACATGAAGATGAACTGATGACACAAGAACTCCAAGAAATTTTGAATGAAGAACACCAAGAGACACAGCGAAATGTGTCTCCTGAACAAGAGGAAGACGAAGGAGGACCAATGCCGACATCTGCCATTAGAGATCTTTTGAAGATGTGGGAGGATGTCGGATCAGTGGTCTTAAAATGGCACCCAAACCAAGCTGATGTCAGTGATTGGTGATTTTTAAAATGACAATGCTATTAATCACTTCCGGAAAATCCTGGAAAAGAGAGAAAAACAATCGACATTGGACATGTTCTTTAACGCCCCATAAACAAAAAATGAAAAGGACTGATTAATATGCAAGACTATATGTATGTATTTTTTTTAATAAACTTACTTAGAAATTATACATCCTTTTCTTTAATTTAATTTTTAGGGTCTTCAGAACGAATTAATTGATTTCACAAAAAAAACAAACAAAAAAAAAAAAAACTATGATAAATCTATAATTGGTTAACGAACAATTCGGATAGTGAACATAGTCTTGTAACAGATTATGCTCGCTAACCGATCACCCACTGTATTAAAAAAAAGGTACACTGCTCAAAAAAAAAAAAAAAAAAAAAAAAAGGGGGGACAGTGCTATATCTCTCATTCTACTGGGGTGATTCACGAAATTCAAATTGCGTTCTTCATGTCTTGAAAGCGCGACTTAAAGGATATATATTAGATTTATATATAGCATTATTCTAACATAGGCATTTTGACACAAAATCGGACTTTTTCTGAAATAACATAGCAATTTTTTTCCATATTTCGATTCTACGACTCAAATTTAGGCAGAATGCCAGTAATAAGTTTTGTAAAAATCGTACGAGTAGCTTTTAAATTATAAGCTCTCAAAATTTTAGCTCCTCAATGTTAATTGAATTTGGCAAATATTTATTAATATCTCTTTTTTTATTAAAAGTTTTTGATTTTTCCTTTCACATTTCGAAATTTAGGTTTCTTCCAAATGAAATTTACCCATTTTTGTGTTTTTTTATTTTTAAATTTCTATTTTAAATAATTTTAATAAATTTTTCGAAAAAAAATTTGAATTATAACCTATAAAATTTTTATGTCATCTTAAAGTAGGTTATTTCTAAGCATACCTGCAAAAAATTAGACATTTTTATTCAAAGTTTTCTAAGATATACACGAATTTACATTTTTCGCTTTTTGAAATTTGCCATATTTTTTTTAGCGATATAATGCCAAATGTGGTTTATGGTTGTTACATGAATTGCCACGCTATTTTTTAAAAAATTTCAGTACAATTGTACGGAGAATTAATATATATTTTTTCCCGCAATGATGCATAATATATTAATCCTTATGAAAAGCTATTTATAAACTATAGATGATGTATTCAAATTTTTACTATTTTTTAATTTCTCTCTTCTCCTTGTTTAAAAAAAATATTTGTAAGAGTAAATTTTAATCTTGGGTGTTTTCATTTGCTACTTAATTTAACTTCGTTTAAATCAAATTGTCTAAATTGAAAACTTTGATGTTTATTTGAATTTTACGAAAATATTTTAACTGCATAATTTATTTCTAACAAGCTGTTGCTTATAAGTGACTGAAAGACGGATGATATATCCTACATATTTTAAAGCACAGTATTTTTATAGAACAAGATTTAGAAAATCATTTATAAAAGTCAAACTGATATACATACAACCCTCTAGAGACCGAATAAGAAAGTTCATGGTTATGTAGAAATGATCTCAGCTACTTAATGGCTGAAGAAGTCAGCGGTTCTGTGGACAAGTAATAATTATATAAGGCGACCCCCAAATCTGGATTCAATTAACAACGAGGGTATGTGTTATTAAATTAATTTAAGGCATCTTTTTTTTGAGCGATAATAACGCCAAATGTGGTCTATGGATTTTTGTTACACTGAATTGCCACGGCTATTTTTACCTTAAATTTCAGTAAAATTTTACGAAGAATTAATATATGAAATTTTTTCCTCATAAGGCATAATAAATATTTATTAATATATGAAAAAGCTATTTTTTTAAATTATAGATGATATTATTCAAACTTTTTTAAAAATTTTTTTAAATTTTCTCTCTTTCTTCCTTTTTTTTTAAAAAAATTAAGAGACTTTTCTAAGAGTAAATTTTTACCTTCGGCGTTTATCATCTGCTACTTACTTAGTTTAAAATTGAAAGTCTAAAACTGAGAATTTTTCGTTTAATGTTTATTTGAATTTTATCAAAATTTTTGACATTAACTGCATAATTTATTTCTAAACAACTGTTGCTTTTGAAGTGGCTGAAAGAGCGGTACTATCATCCATATTTTTAAAGCATAGTATATTTTTTATAGAAACATAAGATTTAGAATAATCATTTTTAATAAAAGTCAAATTATGATATTAACAACAACCCTCTAAGGCTGAATTAATGGAAGTTCAATGGTTATGTAGAAATGATCTGCAGTCACTTTATGGCGGATAAGTCAGCAGATTCTGTGGACAAGTAAGAATAATTATAGAAACACACCAAACATTCTGGATTCAATTAACGAGGATACGATTTTTATTAAATGAATTTAAGAAGTTTTAAACATAAAAAATCAACTATTTTTTATCCTAAATGTATTTTATGCGTAGCGTATTTTCATTATATCCTTAAAATCCTATTTTAGAATGTAATTGTCAAGAATTGAATTCTAATCATCAGTAATATAATAAGTAATTATTATGGTTATTAATAAATCCTTCTTATAAAGTAATTGAAAGTATTTCAAAAAACTTTCTGTTGAAGGCAAATATTTCTAATTTTATATTAATCAAGATTGCACACGATATTATTTATTTGCACTTCATTTCTTACCGTCAGTTCTAGTAAAAGTTACAAATCAATTATATTTAATTAAGGATTGGATTGGATTATTTAATTATGGCAAAGCACGAGGGCTATCTGCCTAAAGGAGGGGATGCCTTCGGGGAGGACTTTTTATGGGAAACTGGCTCGTTAGTTAGAAATCAATTATATTTAATTAAAGAAGACCATCTTAGTTTAGAAACAGCGTACCGTAACAGCATTCAATTATTAGGCCATAATCTTTCAGTTACTCCGATTGGCAAGTACACATCGCGTTAAACAGTTAGTTGGTTATTGAACATAGAAAGAACCTGGAGCTATTTGGTTAAGATGTTCATAGAGAACCTATAAAACTTCGAAAACCAACCTGCAGCCTGGGTTAACTTCGCAACAAACAATTAGTATTTAACAATATTCCAATGCTAGGCAACAGTGAGGCTCCAATTTAATATTTTATTTGTAAATATTTAAATATTGTTGTATCTTAGACACAAGCATAATTTAAGTTTTGTTAACTCGTAGTAAACTCCAAGCCGTAGTGTAATGAATATTCAATTTGTTTGAAATAATGTATTCACTTATATTCTTGGAATAGAGCTAAAGAAGGAACGTTCTCGGAAGATTAAGAAGTTTAAATCCAGTGATATTAGGTTTTTCTTACAAGCGCAGGATCAAATGATGCTGCAATGCCCGAGTAGTGACTTGTAAATAAATAGCTGTGAATTAAGCGATGACTTTAATCTTATGTTATTCAGTCAAAAAAGTATTACAAATGTTTTGTATTGCATCACAATGCATCTTTTTCATTGTTCAATAACCAATCGGAGAACCGCTTGTATTCCGAAAATAAGTATGTGTACTCATTGTCCTGCATGTCTTCAAATTTGTCTTCTGTGATTTTTTTTCTTCCAAAAACTAAAGTTGCCTCTCAAGCGAAAGTTTTTTGACATTTAAGAGACAAAAGGAGTATGACATCTACTTTTAGAGGCATGTCAAAAACAGATCTCTACAAGCCTTCTTTTCCATTACGTGTTGTGCATTCAGACAAAAAGTTGTGTCAGCGTAAATTCTATAACCTATTTTTATTACACTCTGATTACTTTATTAACATACAGTAAATATATACTAAACCTTTTACTTCAGCTTCAGTAATTTGGAATTTTTGTCGGAACTAGGACTGGAGATAAGTCAATTGAATATTTTGGAAATCCAAAATTAAGGTGAATTCATATTTTATTTTGAGGAGGGGAAAGTTTTCCGTTTTGGCCATTATCC